GTTTTTGAATTACAACCATATAAAAAAATCGATTTGGTCGAAAACTGATTTTGCGTAAAAAATCCCGTTTTTCTGTCATTTTTTGTTTTGTTTTTCTCGATTTTTTTGAAAACTGTTGGAAAATGTTTACTTTTGACCTTTATAATGCACCAAGGATCTTAAATTTTACATCGGAAACCTCCCCCAAAGTTTAAATCAAAGCGACTAGTTATGCTGTACACACACACAAAAAAAAAAAAACAAACAAACATCATTGTAAAATCAATACACTTCGTTCAGAATCTAGAAGAAGTTTTACTTCCCCAGAGTGTAACTCACACACTTTCATTTTACCGACACTTCCAAAAAAAAATCGAAATTTCCAGTRATCTATAAATAACTCATAAATAATCAACATTATATGCGCTACGTTCAGAATCTAAATCGAATTTTTATATCATACTATAAAAATATTAGAAATCAAGAGTAATATTATGATAAAATGTACTATAACCACAGGTGTCAATATTAGTGTTGTTAGATATAGAATTCACGATGCCAAAACACCCACGACCACTGAACCGGGTCCTTGCGTTTTGCGTCTATTGCTCAACATTTGAGTCTCAACCGTTCCTAGCCTCACTGCCWCTGCAAATTTAATTGCCAATTAGCGCCTGTACATCACGGCACGCGGTAACCTTATTCTCTTTAGACGTCGTGGAAACCGTCATCCGTCACCCGTCTTCTTTCGACAACTTTTATCTTGGTTAGCGGCGATAACGATAAATTTAATCGTTTTCACGTCTGAACGTCGCGACTATAATGAACATAATAATAATAATATTATCGTCGCCGCCGCCGCCGCCGCCATCATAATCGATTCACCTGCACTCGTATTTATTTCTATTATTAGACCGATTGCGTGTGGGCCGTGTGGAGTTTCCATAACATCGTTATTATGAATTATAATCGTATTAATTCGCGTATCGTTGCATCGCCTCTCCAGCGCACACCAAGTCTCAAAGAGCAGCAGAGGACAACTTACTGTAATAAACGATTATCACAATAATATTACTTTCGCCGCGCAACGTTTTACGACGTCCAGTGGACAGTGGACAGTGAATAATCGGAAATCGCCGTGCATCAATTTATTTGAGTTCATCGATTTGAGTTTCGTCCAAAACATATTATTGTTCGACTATAGGTAATAGGTATATAGGTGCATATATTATATATATATATAAAATAATATTATATTATATACACATATAATG